GTGTGTGTGTGTGTGTGTGTGTGTGTGTGTGTGTGTGTGTGTGACTAAAGATTGAATTCAGGGCAATTCTACCACCTCTACCACTGAACCATCCCTAGCCCTTTTAATTTTTTATCATTTGTGATCCTTTTGCCTCATCCTGCCAGGGAGCTGGGATTACAGGCGTGTGCCACCTTGCTTACTTTTTTCATCTGAAGTCTTTTTTCCCTTCTCCGTGATGTGAACAGGGTATTCCCATATGGAACATCCTGGTGGTATTAAAATCAGAGCATTTAATTTAAAAAGTCATTGGAATTCCTATTTAGATCCACTTAGCCATCATTGAGAAATTAGTGATATTCCTAAAATTTCACAGGAGTAGCTGTTGATGACATTTCATTAAGAACAACAAAACGGTACATAGTATGCTGAGAAAATGTGACCAGCTAGAACATATAGAGTATTGGGAGTGTTTCAACAAGTTGGCCATGGTGGTGGGTGGTGGCGGGGTTGGGGGGGCCAGTAGTATATGCTTCCCTCCCCTGCAGTTTCACCACTTGTATTTTTTATTATGTGACGGCTTCTTGGAGAAGGCTGGGTCTCTGATGTTTCTTACTGTGTCATTGCATGACCCAAACCTCTTCTTGTCTCTGATATAGGGCTACAAGCGAGCAGTTCCAGAGTTCAGCATTTGAATATTTCATGACTTGTCCCCTAGATTTTTACAGATTTCATGTAATTAGAAATAAACAGATTTAGAATAAGAAAATAATTTGAGTGGGAGTAAATTAGGATCCACAAAATTTTTTATTTGTTTGGGGCCACAGAATAAATTTTAAACTTCGGGGCCATGAGTCCACATGCTTTGCCACTGTAGCCAAAAGCAGGCTACAGACAATAAAATGAATGAGAAGCTGTTGGTGGCCATTTCTATGCACATGGCCCCAGGGCCTTCATTTGTAAAACCACTGTTTGAATGGTTCAGGGAAATGCCAGTTTGGAGGGGGACTTTGGGTGCCACTCGGTGTCCTCTGCTCCCTGGAGGCAGGTGTTGGTTGCTGATCTAGGAAGATGGGCCACTGTACCCGGTGCCTCCTGTATCCCCAGCCCCCGTGCACCCCCTGATGGCACACTTGGGGGTCACAGAGGTAAAGGCTGTGGAAGGCTGCGTGATGAGAGGCAAGCTGATCACTATTCAGGGTCTTCTCCAGAGCCACAGTAAAGGGAAAGAGGAAGGATTAAAATTGAGATTATGAGGGCGACTGACTGAAGTCACCATAATGAGCTTATTTACGGATAGGTCATAAATGAGGTCGTTAAAGGTGTCAGCTTTGACAGTTCTGATGTGATTTCAAGGAGCAAAAGCAGAACTAAAGGAGCCTTAGAAATGGGTTTTGAAGTAGGGAAGAGAGGCCGGGAGAGAAGTAGGTTAGTTACCATCAGTCAGACCGCTTTCAGGTGGAAATGTGGTTGCTTTTTGTTTGGGTTTAAACCTCTAATCTCAGGAAGTAGGACAGCTTTCTTCTGAAACTGACATGGGCTAGCGGTCGCCCCAGACCCTGTTTTACTCTCAGAATGGCGAACGGGGACTGAATGTTAATGATCATTACCTTAATAAAATAAAAACAGCTGGTGGCACCTGCCTGTAATTCCAGCTGCTTGGAAGTCTGAGTCAGGAGATCGTAAGTTTGAGACCAGCTTGGGCAAATTAGGGAGACTCTTGTCTCAAAATAAAATTTAAAAAGGGCTGGGAGTGCAACTCAGTGGTAAAGCACTTGCCTAATGTGTAAAGTCCTAGGTTCGATCCTCTAGTACTGCCAACACTAACAAAAAACAAACCACCCCCTCCCTCCCACATATATATCTTATGTAGGCTTCTGAGGTGTGTTAGGTATTTAACATTTAAGGCACAGAGAAGGAGCTTTAGGCTGACAAGGGTGTCTTGCAGTCAAGGCCATATCTAAAGGAATCAGGCAACATCATTAAGGAGGAGTGGGAGGTATTGGTGGTTCCAGCCAGGCTGAGGCTCACTTTTCTTGCTCTCTTGCTGTGATCCATGATGGTCAAGGTCAAGGGACTTGAGACAGGTACACGAGCCTTCTTAGAGCAAATCACAACATTGAGCTGTGGTCCCAATGACCTGATGGGTCCCCTGAGAGACGATGTTCACTGGATTTTATCTCCTATAGTGGAGGTCAGTCACCTTTAAGGGGACCCATCTGTCCTGGTCACCATGATTTCTGGAGGCTTCATGGTAGGTACCAGGGATCTGGGGTTGCTGATGCTCAGCTGCTATGCAGAGCTGCTGTGGCCCCCTCAGGTCAGTAAGAACCTCTGGAAGGAAACCTTCAAGCCTCCTCTGAGAACCTTGAGATGCTATGAGGGGTGACAGGCTGGAGCACTCTAGACCCATGGTGGCCTTGAGGTCTTTGCAGCTCAGGGCTTATTTCCCTGCAGTTGACCTGACCTGAGTGTGATGGGAAAATGAGCCAGATGCTTTGGGATGGTCTCCCAAGGCCTTGAAGCCTGGTGGCCCAAATGAGAATTCTCTGAATATTCATTTCCTTTTCATTCTGTGGCTGGGACACCAGGCTGTGCCTCCTGCTACAGCTTCATGACTAGATGGTTCCTGGGGGGTTAGAGAAGGAAGGATAGAGAGGCTACCTTGGGAAATTGAGGGTTAGTCACCACAAAACACCATAAATTGGGTAAACAGAACTTTATTCCTCACAGTCATAGAAACTAGACAGCCAAGATCCCACTCCCTCCGAGATGATGCCTTCTAGGTGGGTCTCCACGTGGCAGGAAAAGCCAGGCATCTCTCCCAGTCCTACCCAAGAGGGCAGAACCCTCATGGCCTAATCACGTCCCAGAGGCCCTAGTCCAAAGCCATCACATTGGTGATTAGTTTCAACATTCAGGGAGAAAACAGACATAGACCACAGCAGAGACCCTGACAGAGAATGGAGTGCAGGCTAGAATCGCCCTTCTCTCTTCCTTCTGCCACCAACGCTACCTCCCCCTCAGAGAGAGTCAGAATCACTGCATGTTGAATAAACATGTCTGACATTGCTCAACGAATTTCCTGGAATATAATGCATAACTCTTGTCGTATGTCCCCACCCCTAAAAGAACATAAGAACAAAACTATATATTCACTGCTCCAAAGATTACTCTGATTCAGTCTGTTTGTAAGAAGTGGAATTGCAATTCTACTTCATAAACTTATTTCCTTTCTTTAGGTCAGAAAGATGAATTTTATTTCCTGAGTTATGAATCCTGGTGTGCGTGTGTGTGTTATTGACCTGATTTTCATAAATGTAAATTACCTTCAGCAAATAATAGAGACATTTGCATTATTTCTCCAACTGCTTAGTACATTTTTGTTCAATATATACCAGCTTAAAGTTTTAACCTCTGAATAACATAACTTAAAATAATGTTTTTCCTGAAAGTTTGGGGAAGCAGTGTTATTTCCATTTATTTAGACTTTCTCTGTTTATTTTGGACCTGGAAATTTTTGTCTAAATAGCCCTCTGACTTTCCTGAATGTGAATGGAGGGAAGGTAGGTGGGGGTCAGTCACCTGGGCTCCCCCTGCCCTCCTGCCACCTGTGGTGTCCTTATCACATGTTATGGAAGTTAAAGGGGAAACCCCACGCATTTCCTGCCGTAACTGCCTTTGTTTGTTTTTTTCCAGTCTTCAAAACTGCTGTGGTCCTCGTGTATAAAGATGGTTCCAAACAGAAGAAGAAACTTGTAAGGCTTCTCACGTCACCCCACAGTTTGCAAGTTTCTCTCCTTCTGCTTCTCAGTTGTATCTGCCTAAGTCTATCCCTGTGTTGGCCAGAGCCGCCTTGAGTTGTTCTCTTTTGTGTGTGCTCCTGAGGACTCTGGTGGAGACCATCTGCCTTCTTTCAGGCAGGCTCATGTTTAGAGCATGAGAATCAATGGCCATTGCCTACTCCCATGGCCCAAAACCTTTCAGACACTATTTTTCCTTTTTCTGTTGCCTCTGCTCTTTTAAGATTCCTTTTTTTTTTTTTTTTTTTACCTTTTTTACTGTTTCTCTCTCTTTCCTACACTTGATCAGCAAACCTATTTGCACACCCTGAGCATAGTTATCCGGCACCCCCCCCTCACTTCCAGCATCATGAACAAAAGATCGTGGGAGTGAAGTTCCTTTGGGCATGTGCTGCAGTTAACTGAGTAAGAAATGTAGGGACCTAATCCCGGGTAGATGCGCTTGTGCTCCACAGCTGCTCCTTCTCTGCCGCAGGTGGGATCTCACAGGCTGTCAATTTACGAAGAGTGGGACCCCTTCCGGTTTCGCCACATGATCCCCACTGAAGCTCTGCAGGTCCGCGCTCTGGCAAGTGCAGGTAACGTTGCCACGGGCTGGACTCGGATTTCTCAAGTGTGTGAGCTGTTTGTTTGTGTCCAGGCTCCTGGTCCAAGCACCCTACCATCTTTTTGCTTCTCCCTTTTCCCTCGGTCCTTCCCACTGCTTCTTACTTACTTGGCCATTATCGAGTGAAAGAATGAATGAATGAACCGCGTAGATGAACGAACTGAGTGAAAAGACGTGGAATGTCTTCAAAGTTGCTCTAAGGAATTGGGGTCATTCTGTGGCGTATGCTAATGATATTATAATGACCGACATCTCAGTAGCAATGGGCCCGGTACTTCTGGAAAGAGTTCTTGAGACCATGAGCAGACAAAGCCCATGCAAATGACTTATTTGCCTTTTAACCAAGCAACCCAGAAAGACCACTGGAAGCATGAAAGAGCCATTGAATACTCATTTCTTTGCCTGAAGTACGACACATCTCAGTCTTTGGTACTAGTGTGAAGGCTTTTGAAATGTTGTCTCTTTTTCTGTCATCCAAATTGTAGTGAAGTAAGTTGTTGGGTAGCAACCAGCATGCTTGATGATATGGTTCAATGATGCTTTAAACACATGGGAAGTACATGTCAGTAGGTTATCGACTAAGAAAGTCAATACTCCAGTGACTCAGCTGGGCTTCATTTGAGGCCAAGTTCTAGGCAGGGAACTTAATAATGGCTCCCCCAGGCACATCCTGGAAAGAGCATCTTTGGGAGTCACATAGAAACATTGGTCACACCTATTCCTTCTCCCACCTGGACAGCAGGTATTGTTTCAGGTAGTAAAGTGAGGCCCCAGGAGGGACTCTTTTTCTATTTCTTGATTCTGGCATCAAATGTGACCTTAGATTCTTACTGTCTGATTTGTGTGGCTCAGACTCCTTGTCTCCACTTGCTGGCTCCATAAGCAATAAAGCTGAGTCTCATTCTCACAAAACCAACTACTTTGATATCCTAAGGAGAGCACTCTTGCAATATTTGATGCATTTCAATTATTCCCCCAAATTAAAGTACATATACCTTCCTTTGCAGTTGTCCTTTGTGGTAGGAAAGCACAAATGCAAAAACAATACATGTGAAATATATGTGGGATAATTATCCACCTTAGGAAGGTTTCTGTCTAAGCTTCCAACAGGGATTTACCATGAGGCATTTTACTTATAATTGACTTGTAAAGTCAATTTGCAGGAATTTGCAGAAACTGATAGAACATGGGTCTACAAGCATTTTGAGGTTTAGAAACTTAAGCACTAGCATTGTCCTCTTTAGAATCTTTGCTTCTAAATTAGTTCATGTTTCCTTGCACTAGGTTTATAATGGGAAGTTATTCCTCCAGCTAGCTGCAGGCATCTTTGCCAAGAATTCTGCCTTCATTAAGGACTAAACACACAAAGACTTTACATTTTCAAAACAAAGCTATCTTTGTGATATGACATTTCATTCTCACCCTCTATTTTTCATTCAGATTCTTTACAACCATCAAGACAGAAACACATTTTAATTGTTGGAAAGACTATCAACATGTTCCTCATTATGAAATAAATGCCAGTGGATCTGAGAGTCAGAATGTGGAATTTCTAGATTTTAATCTTAGTTGAAGAATATTTGTAAGACTTGGTGCAATTGGATTCTGGTTGGAGTTAAATAATGTAGGCACAGTGAGGGTTTGTGACCAAGGTTCTGTACCACTGGATTAGAGCGGGACCTCACAGTGGGATGCTTCTGTGTCTGAAGCACGTTGTTCCTTTCACAAACACTTTATTCATGACTTAACATAACATGATGGTGTTGGCGTTGCAAAGCATGGAAATTACAGTTAGCCGTCTGTATTCCAGGGGCTCTGTCCATGCTCATAAATTTAGCCAACTGTGGATAGAAAAATTTGGGAAAAAGAAAACATACACAGCCTTATTTTTCTTATTATTATTCCCTAAACAATATAGTATTACATGATATTTACATCATATTAGGTATTGTAAATTACCTGGAGATGATTTAAAGTACCCAGAGTCTATGCACAGGTTATATGGAAATACTAGGGCATTTTAGGTAAGGGATTTCAGCATCCTCAGATTCCAATATCCATGAGAGTCCTGAAATCACCCCGTTGGGAACTGAGGGTGATTATATTTTAAAACATAGCTATTCCTCATCTTTGTAGTGTGCCATTTTTTGCTTCCCTGAGAGAGGGCACTGTGGGCAAGTTGGAAAGAGCAGTTCCATTAGGTCTCCAGGGCAGCTCACAAGGTCAGGCCTGGTCACTTAGCGGGAGGGCTCCCCCAGCAGCCAGCAGTGGCCTGACGCCTCTTGTCATTGGCCTGATGAAAATGTGCACTGTTATCCTGGGTGCTGTGTAGTCCAACTGTTGCCAAAAGAACTAATCACTTAATTGAAATAATTTTAGCTGCACAGCTGAAAGACTGAATTCCTCAATCAATATGATTTCTGAAGGGCCTTTTAGATCTGCTAGAAGGAGATTTTTGCAACTCTTTGCAAGAGTTTTTTTTCTTGGTGCATATTAATTTTTTGATCTTTCCCTTTAGATCCTAGGAGGGGAGTGAAGACTTTTTGTTCTTGTGCTGCTCTGCAAAACTTGGTCATATACCACAGTGCGAAGAGTGTTTCTATAAACATGTAAATAAATCAATTTGAAACGTACCCTAACATGTCCTTATTTTAACTTACCTAGATGCAGAAGCAAATGCCGTGTGTGAAATTGTCCATGTGAAATCGGAATCTGAAGGGAGGCCAGAGAGGGTCTTCCACCTGTGCTGCAGGTAAGCCTGAGAGTCCAGGCCACAGCACCGACCACCCAGCCTTTGGTGTTCGATGCACAGCCTGCACCTGCCCATCTCCATGTGCATTTTTAGTGTTTTTTATTTGTTTTAATTTGAGAAATTAACCTTTTTCAAATAACAGTAATTAGATGAATTGAAGGTATTAGAATATAGACAATAATCTGGTTAGTTTAGTATCTATCTAAAAGCATATAGGAATTTTCATATACAGTCAACATTCCAGAGACGGCTTTCTTTCTGTGTTTACCTTGTATAAAACAGGAGGACAGGGTGGTGTTGTGTTGTCATGCTTGGGCACGTTGTTTCCACTGTAAAACCTCTGAGGTGCAGCTGATGGACAGTCTGCCGGGAGGAGGGTAGTGACGTGAAGCCACTACCATCAGGATTCCTGATGGTTTTTTAAATATCTTTATTTTGTTTATTTATTTTTAATGTGGTGCCGCGGGTCAAACCCAGTGCCTCACATGTTGGAGGCAAGCGCTCTGCTACCGAGCCCCAACCCCAGCCCTCCTGATGATTTTGAATAGCCTCAACACAGGGAGGCTGGCCACTCTTGATCACCTACAGATCTTGAGTGGACACTAAACTTACAATGTGGGCTTCTTGTTCTTCTTCTTCTATCACCTTTAGGAAAATTTGAGATCTCCCATGTGCAGCCTATTCTGTTTTATTTTTTCCCCTAGAAATATTTAGATAGGGGCTGGGGTTGTGGCTCAGTGGTAGAGCACTTGCCTGGCCCAGTAAGGCACTGGGTTTGATCCTTAGCACCACATAAAAATAAATTTTTTTAAAAAGAGAGAAATATTAAAATAGTTAGTCTCAACAGACTGCATCCTACTGGCTTTAAATATGATCCACAGTTAATCCTTCTTTAGTTTTCTCATAGGCACTCATTAGTTTCCTCAATAGTTATCCCATACTTTTACACAGAGAGTAGTAGTATGCTGTGAGTCACTCATAAAAAACAATATAATCAATACTATCATGATTATTAATGGTATTTTATAATGCTGTTGCTAGTATAATAAGAAGGTGCATTTGCCAAACACAGATGGTACTAACCCTTGTCATTATTATTTCATTTCATTATTAAAGGGGGCCAAGGCTCATAGGGGGCTCTTTGCCCAGTGGGTTATAGAAAACAAACACTGGGTTCAACTCAGGTGGACCTAGCTTTAAATCCCATATTTTGTGTGGCTACATCCCCTCTCTCTGATGAGTGACAAGTGCCAACAAACGACAGAAACCTAGGAAGCTGTCAGGAGTAAAAGTGAAAATGTTTTTGAAACATTGCACATGTGTTTTGAACATTGCCTTACCCTCTGCAGAGGCTGGTCCTTTTGAGATTTTGCTGGTAAAGTACCTGGGGCTCAGCAATCCTGTCTAGAGCTGCCATGTGTGTTGTCGATAGGGAATACCAGCTGAAGCTTACCTGGGTAAAAATACTGTGAACTAGCCAAGAAGAGCTCACACCTAGGAGGCACATTTTTCCCCAGGAAAATTAGGACCAGGGATGATTTGACAGTTCTTAACAATGTAGCCTTCATTCTTCACCTGCTGAAATAGATGGTGGGGGGGAGCTGCCATTTAATAGCAGAGACACAAGAAGAAGCTAAGCGCATTGGGATATCTGTCTGCAGAGATGCAAGAGCCTGGGGCTCAATTTTCCTCAAAAAAACGTTTTAGAAAGTAAGGCTGCCTTAAGTGCCAAGGCAGAATTTGGCACCTTCCTGCTGCAAAATCCCTCTGTCCATTGATCTGTTGGTTAATGGGATTCTCTATCCCAAATTGGCTGCAGAAGATGAATCACAAAGCAGAAAGGGAGAAGAGAACAGCTTGGGCAGAGGAATTGGAGCCACATCCCCAGTCTTTACCCTTGGGCCCTCAGGGATATTTGTCTGGCTGCACCTGATAGCATGAGTACCCTCTCTGTGTTAAGGGCTATTTCTCTAACCCAGGTAAACCTTCTTTTCTTAGCTCCCCAGAGAGCCGAAAGGATTTCCTGAAGGCTGTGCATTCGATCCTGCGAGATAAGCACAGAAGACAGCTCCTCAAAACCGAAAGCCTTCCCTCATCCCAGCAGTATGTCCCTTTTGGAGGAAAAAGATTATGTGCGCTGAAAGGTGCCAGGCCAGCCATGAGCAGGGCAGGTACTGTGGGGATTCAGACGTACAAGATCCCCGTCACCCCCACTCCGCTCTAGAACTCCAGAGAGCTTGACTTCATGTTTTGCAAGAGTTAGGTGTGGCCCTGGGGGGCTTACGTAGGAGTACCTTTCTTCCCTGGTATGAGGGTCCCTGCCTTTCCCGTCATCCCGGGGCTCCCTGGGACTCTGCCCTTCACTCTCCCTTCCTCCCACCTACCCTTGGCTGCCCCTCCTGTTGGCTGTGAGCTCCCTGTCTTCTGCCAAGCCGCAAGCCAGCGCATCCTCCCTCTGGAGTGGCCCTCTTAGCCTGCTTGCGGGGTGAGAGTTGCTGCTTTGCATGACGCTCAGCTTGGTTGAGCAAAAGCAAACGCATCGTGTCAGCAAAGTCACAGCCCACCGTCCTGAGAAGGTGGCGGCTTTGTTACCTGGCAGCACAGCAGTGAGGATTCTGGTTGGACAGATCAGATGACACATCAGATTTTGACCCTGTCTTGTGCCTGCCACTTTATTTTTATTCTCAGTGTTAGTTAGGGGACATTTTAAGCCACTCCTGGAAAAGAGGAATCTAAGATGCAAATGGTCCCAAGTAAATATTCCTGTGGGACTTATCCCATCAATCTGGAGCAGGGAGGAAGGAAGATCAATATCACTGTCTATAAATGGCAGTAGAACATATCTAGGAAGAAAGGTATTATCACAGCACTAGGAGGTACTAAATGACATCAAGATCTTAACATTTTAATCACTCCTTTCTAAGAGGCAGGCCAGAATTCTGCAGGGATTCCAGTTAAAGAGGCTTCCTTTGCATTTTCCAAAATAGTTTCTAACTTTTGTCCCAATTCCCTTTACACTGATTCTCAGTGGGGTTCAAGAGGTGTGGACAGAACTGTGAATGGTTGAAGGGTTTTCATAGACACATCCTATCTAAGTTGACATGGGCTATTACATTCTTTAAGCACTCTAAGTAGGGGTTAGGGTTATCTTAGATTTATTCTCCAACCAGTTGAAAATCTAGTTAAGCTAACACCCAACACTTTATGGGGTTCTTCAAGGTATCCTAAGAGTCACAAATGCACCCACATCCACAGTTTCTCATGGGGTCCCCATGTGAAGACAGTTCATCCACCCTTTATAGCTCACTGGAGGGAATTCTGTCTTAGAATCATCTCATCTGCTCCTCTTGTTACTGGGGAATGTTTAATTGGGAACATTCCTATTCTCAGGGAACCCGCCCATCAGTGGCCAGGATTCATTTCTTAATGAACCAAAATTCAGAGCTGCTTCTGCTTTGAGCCCATCATGTTTAGTCTTTAGGATCTGCAGAAATGTTCCTGCAGAGATCTTTTGGAAAGAAAAGCAAAGCAACCTGCAACCTAAATCATCATCATCGTGAATCCCCAGGGAAACCCTTGATGTCACAACCTGTTGGATTTGGATGATTGAAAGATGTTCCTGCCTCATGGCTCATTTTTGGCCGAATGAAGTCTTGATCACTCTGCTTCCAAGGCAGCTATGATTAGAATGTTCATGTTTGATGATTTAAAAAAACGGTACTTGAGTGGATCAGCCCTCAGCACTCGCTTAGCAAAGAACACTGGAAATATCCAAATCCAAGATTGTCTTCCTGAAAGACTGGGAAGAACCCATTAATATTAACTGGGTTATTAAATATCCTTTTAATAAAGGATCTGTACTCATGCTTCATTCTCCATTGTCATGAATACCCAGGTAGTTTATTTCTACCTCTGTTCTGTTTGATAATATAGTAAAGAAACATATCCTGCCTCCATATTTGTTTGAAAAGTACTATACTTCTGCCAGTGACCCATTAAAAAAATATATATATATAGTATATATATACACACACATATACACATATATAATATATATTATATAATATGCCATTTACTTATAAATTTTTGGACTTAAAAAGCAACTGAAAGAGTTTATACCTACCAATCATATTCTAGGACCAATATTTTCCTATATTTTCATTATCACTTATCTGTCATTCATCAATTCTTCTTATTTTTGACACATCTCAAAGATACAGATATTACCACACTTCACCCCTCTGTGCTTTAACATGCATATCGTTCACAGATACTTCCAGTAGCCCGATTTTGAATTTGGATAATTCTAATGAAGTGGTTAGAGACAGCCAAGGTCTGCTGTGGTGAGGTTCAAATAAAATTGGACAGGGATTTATGCTTCTTCCCAATGAAATAGAGTAGGTCTTGTCTTTCCGTTATTTATTTATTTTTCTTTCCTTTTGCCATTTTGCCTGGAAATGGTTTTCATCCCCGTCTCTGGGCGAGAGCTGTGCCCATTGAGATGACAGAGCACTCAGAATGGTGGTGGGCACACAGGTCTGAGACAGAGGATGTCTTGTCCAGTGGCTTAGGCCAATGTCGAGCTCTTCAGCCTTGTACCTGCTGTATTTGAAGTCAAGACAGCATTTTGCAGTAAACGAAAACAGGCAGCCTCCTTCTGGCAGCATCTAGCAGTGATGGCTTTTAGGACTTCAGTTTCTGTAAAGCATCCCCTGACTGCTGCGTAGGCTCTTCCCTGCCACTGGAAAGCCCATGATGCATTTCACCTTTTTGTGTTTAATGCAGCAGCCACTTTACTCTCGAGGGAGAAATGGCAGCATTTCCAAGTGAGCCAGAGTGTGAGTGAGTGAGTGTGTGTGTGTGTGTGTGTGTGTGTGTGTGTGTGTGAGAGAGAGAGAGAGAGAGTTGGCTTGTTTGGTTGGGTGGCATCCCTTGTTTGCTTGTTTTTAGTAGTTCTAGCTTCCTAGAAGGCAGTAGGGTAAAAGAATGAATTCAAAGCTGAGTTTTTCTTACTTTTAGTCACTTTATGCAGCACTTTGTTGCTCAGCTGCCTGACTGTTTCTCGTTCCACTCAGGCACTGACTTCTTAATTGCATCACGGAAGAATGATTCACAAAATGCAGTTAGGAGGGACTGAGCCTCTCATTTGCTTAGCCTCACAGTTCATGTGGGACTTTGTCTGAAAGGGGACAGGAGACTAGTAGACATTTCCATATCTCTGAGAGCTACTTTATTTGTATTTTTTTTCACGTACTCCTTCAGAAGGGAGTGGCAACCTTAATCAGCATGTACTCAAGAAAGGTTAAGTTCAGGTTCCCAGAAAGCTCCACAGTTTAGACCAGTGCTTCTGCCTCCTTGGTGCATCATGGTAGTATCTCCAAAGATAACATCCTCCTCACTTATTGAAGAATAGCTGTTCTAGCCAAGTGACCCTGGGACAGCCCTGAGGGATCTTCCCCATTCTGTGCTGTAAGACGTCATAGGGTTGAGACATCACTCACTGATCCCAAGATTAGAGGTGCACTTGAGAGCTACAGAGTCTGTGTTGCCTGTCTCCCAGATGCACAGGCTAGAGTAATAGGTCATTTTAAAGGGTGTTGAGTTCTCCTTCTCCATAGCCCACACCCTCTCCTGTGTCCTGCCTACTCCCTTTGGGTCAGTGGCTACAACACCCTCTTAAGTCTAGACGTCTGAGCAAGATGGATGGTGACCTCTAGCCTCCAAACCCTGAGCCCCAGAGACTGTCAAGGGCATATCACCTCATTGTTGTGTTCCTTTCCTTTGCTTTCTGGATTTCCATCTCATGGTGAAGCGTGTGGGGTTTATTTTTGTGTTTTTGTGTGTGTGCGCAGTGTCCGCCCCAAGCAAGTCTCTTGGGAGGAGGAGGCGGCGACTGGCCCGCAACAGGTTTACCATTGATTCTGATGCCGTCTCCGCCAGCAGCCCGGAGAAAGAGTCCCAGCAGCCCCCCGGTGGCGGGGACACTGACCGATGGGTAGAGGAACAGTTTGATCTTGCTCAGTATGAGGAGCAAGATGACATCAAGGAGACAGACATCCTCAGTGACGATGACGAGTTCTGCGAGTCCGTGAAGGGCACCGCAGTGGACAGAGACCTGCAGGAGCAGCTTCAGGCTGCCTCCATCAGTCAGCGAGAAAGAGGCCGGAGAACTCTGGATAGTCACGCGTCCCGCATGACCCAGCTCAGGAAGCAGACCGCCCTGTCGGGCATCAATGGAGGTCTGGAGAGCACCAGTGAGGAAGTCATTTGGGTCAGGCGTGAAGACTTTGCCCCCTCCAGGAAACTCAACACTGAGATCTGACTGTGTCGTGTCCCCCAGAGGATTTGTGTACATACTTCTCCCACCGCCCCACTCTGCCCGCCCTCCTGTCCCATCCTCGAGAATGTCCCCTTAGGTCGCACTCTTGCACACACGGTTCCGGCAGCTGACTCGGTTCTGAAGCCATGTAGCCACCCACCTTCGTCATTCTTAACAACATCAGAAAGAATTGTTCAGGGTCCCAAACAAGCTGGAGTCCTGTCCTCTGTATATTACCAAGGGCTTTTATTTATTCTCAATTAATCAGGGCCTGCAGAATCAGAAGAAATAATCGATAGCACTGGAAAGCAGATCCCCCCCACCCCCAGCAGCTAGGACAGATTGATTTAAGGGATAGCACACACAAAAGAGATGACACACCCCGTCCTGTCTGAAGCCAGTGACCTAGCTGGGGAAACCACTTTCAAACACACAACGGAACAAGACGAAGTATCTGTACAGCTTGCAGGATTCGCCCTCCCTCTCTCTTCCGTGTCTGAGGGTATCAGTGTCCTTTAAGAATGTGTGAGGAGAGGGTGGTCTCATTTATGTCTTGATGAGCCTTTTATTTTTTTCTCCTGTTTTGAACTATGGCTGGTCTGACTCTATGTCGGTGTTTGGAAGCTCTAGTTTTGCATAGAATTATAAAGATGCCAAACTCTTGTAAAAGAGATCCAAATTTATCACTTGAGAGAAAAGAGAAGAAAAAAAAAAAAACCTATTTTTTGTATTTAACCTGTGATGCAGGGGCACAAAGAGATGAGAATTTTACAGTGTTAGATGTAACTCTGAGTCTAGAAATGAGCATATAACCTTTTGCAGAGAGTGAGGCATGGTGACTTTATATTTATATACGAAAAGCCAACAAGAAGCTCATGGTAAGGATAAATGTTGCTTTTTTAAGAAGCTTTTTTTTTTTTTTTAATGTTTGAGTCTATATTTGAGATGGGAGTTTGGCTGGGTGACACAAGACAGGGAATGGGCTGTGTGTGCGTCTGTAGCACATGGCAGGGGAGGGAGCCTCCTTCGTGTGGGGTTGCCATGGTGATCATTGATTGGTTTTCCCATCAAAACTGCATCTTCATCGTAGATGACCCGCCCCTTCCCTGACAGCCCATAACCAAACCTCTGAACCAAACAACCTCTTCAAAAACATCTCTTGCATTTAACACGTTCTTCATGCCAACAAAACAGGGTAAACATGCTGATAAATCTAACATTCTAAACAGATATCCAAATAGAAGAACAAAAACGAGTTTTAGCACTTTCAAATTTTTTTTAAAAAAAAGGTTTATAGCTTTTTTTTTTTCCTTCTTCCCATTTCACAATGTCCACTTCCTAAGAATAAATAATATGAAAACTTTCTTTTTGGGGAAAAAAAAAATTATCTATTTGGTGTTTGACACATCAGTAGGTACTTTAAAGACCTGAATTTTATAGTAGCTTTAGGAATTATATTTTATAAGAATCAGTTATGACTTTATATTTCCAGACAATAGAGAGTTCAGAACATCTTGCTCCGTGCCCCTGCTTGCTTTTCCCTCTCTCTCATCCTACGTCCCTCCCCCTTTCGGGTTTCCAGGGCTCTGAGCTTGATCTTTTGAAAATTTTATTCTATTAAATTTTTGCTATATCTTCTGGTTTTCTTAAAAAGCTTTAGAATGGTTTCTATGCCCTTTGTATCACCGCATTGTACCATATCATCTCGGGTTCGATTGTGTCTGGATGGAAAACTGAAGCAGAGGCGTCGAATAGTTGAATTTACTGGTCCCCCTGCAGCGCGTCCATGGAAAATACTGGAGAGTCTGGTGCTTGGAGAGGGTGCCATTGTCTCTTGTACATAAGGTCATGACGTGTCGATGTCAAAAGTTCTTATATATTTCTTTTATAAGCTGAAAGAAGGTCTATTTTTATGTTTTTAGGTCTATGAATGGAACGTTGTAAATGCCTGTCAAACAATAAAAATATTGAAAAGTACCAGTGTGGTTCTGTGCCTTTTGGGGGCTCGAAGATGAGTAGAAATGGGACTAGAAAGAGTCCCTGGGGGGAAAATTCCTGGGAATGTCTATATTAAAAGTCCCTCTTATGATCATCAAGGGAAACTGTTTTGGTAAGGCTTGAAGTTTTAACCAAAACAGAAAAGAAAATTTTTAAAAAGAGGGAAAAAGCCCTATAGTTCCTTGACATCTTGGTCTAAAAACTTGGAGAACAGGAAATACCAAAAATATACATCCATTACCCATAGTGGGATGACAGTCATCCTTCAGTATCTGCAGAGTGATTGGTTCCAGGACTCTTGTGGGTACCTAAATTCAAGGATCTTCATGTAAATAGAATAGTATTTACATATAACTTGGCCAAGTCCTTTTGTATACTGTATATCATCTCTAGATTACTTATAATACCTAATACAATGTAAATGCTATGCAGCTAGTTGATACTATAGTGTTTAGGGAATAATGACAAGAAAAAAGTCTACATCTTCAGTAGAGTTTTTAAGAAGCAGTTGGTGTTTGGTAGAACCGTATTTGTTTTCCCAGTCTCCTGCCCCATCCTGGAGGGAGCAGGTGGAGGGGTGCATGGGGAAATGTTAGGGTGGTGTGCAGAATTCAGGATTGGATGACGGAACTCATGGGTCATTCCACAGTTTGTCACTAGTGGCCTGCTGCCTGGATTTTTCACAGAGTCACACACACACACACACACACACACATACACACACACACAATGGTAAATATGATTTGGCCGGCTTTCTCTTCCTGTCAGAGTCTCCTGACCTTCCTCCGGAATCCCTTATAAACCTTACCCAGTCAGAGGTATCCATCCTCACCTGCCCTCCTCAGGTAAGAAGGTTTTCTCCTTCCTGTCTAAGGTGATGTAGAGCCTGCTGAGCTCTGCTCTGTGGCTCCTTGCTGTTCCTGTGGAGGTCTGTGGACCACAGCATCAACCCCCCAGAGCTTGTGAGAACAGCAGTAAATGGGCCTTCAGCACAGATGTGTAAATCAAACCAGATTTTTAAAAAAAAAAAATTATTTGTTTTAATTAGTTATACATGACAGTAGACTACACTTATATACTTTGATATATCATATATAGATGGGATATAATTTCTCATTTTTCTGAGTTACGTATTGTAGAATCACATTGGTCATACAGTCACATATATACATAAAGTAATAATATCTGATGATGTTTTGTTCTAAGAAAATCACTGGATAGTTCAGAGGCATGTTCATTTGAGAAACATCAGTTTGTCGGCCTCCCCGTGTTTTGACATTAAACAGTGATTTAGAGCCACGACACTTTCATAGGCACCATGCATCAATACATTCATTTGAAGATACAGAAAGGTGTCTTTCCGTCCTCCTCGGGACTGACTGGCGCACTTTAACACTTACTGATAAAGTCATCCCAACAGTTTGTCCTCCGGTGTTAGTGATATTTAGTGGCTTGGGCTGCATTCCCGAGTAGCCCTGGGCAGAGAAGTGAGTGCTCAAAGTTAGGTACAGAAGAACAATCCCAGGGCCTTTCCCCCTCTAACAATTTCTTTTTCAGTCACATTTCCATCTGCCTGGCAGAAATCATCCTCACTGCCCTGGTTCTCCCTGGCTGTCAGGGTTTAGGGCATTGGGTAAGGTCCTTGCCTCCAGTCTTGGTGTCCATTTGTCTGCAAAGGCTGCTGTAGTGATGGCCAATGCTCCTGCGCTCAGGGTCCCTCTTGTTTGGAGGTGGGCTCTCCAGTGTTTCCAGTTGCCCAACTCCGAGCTGCCCCCCCCCACCCCCAGTTATCTCTCAGGTCCTCAGCGTTTTGTCTGCTCCCTGTGCTGTTGCTCAAGCTCTGGCCCCTTTAGTCCCTCAGCCCTCTCCGGCCCCTACCCCCAGCGAGTGGATGTACCCTTTCTGTGCAGGGTGGATATGGGGAAGGAGGGGGAAGAACAGTGGAAAAAAGCCGTCTTCACCTGAAACCGACTCCTTTTCCCTCCCAGGGCTTTACAGGCAATTTCCAGGTTTGGGCATGTGCCTCTTCCAGGATATCACAGTTGCCTTCGAAGAAGGGGAAATATTGAGCAGGTGAAGGGAAGGAAAAGTGAAAACACAGGGAGAAAAACCAATACTCAAAATATTTAGCTACTTACGTGCAAAATGTATGAGGCCAGGATGGCAGCATTGCCTACCCCAGAGACCTCTCTAAAGTGAGTGGATGTTTGAAGAAAGGAGAAGGAGCATGAAGCCTCTTTGACATAAGGTGGGGATACATCCTGGTTAATCTGTGCTAAATTGAAAATATCCTAAGTCAAAACTCCATTGAATTCACTCATCCTTCCAGACACCCCAGCTCAGCATAAGGGCACACGGTGTGGCTCATTCACCCTTCTAGCCGGCACCGTGGTCACTGCTGCCACCTGGCATCTTGAGAGTGTCACACCACATACAGCTAGACTGTGAAAAGAGCAAAATTCAAACTGCAAAGCTATGGTTCCTACAGTATGCGTATCATCTTCACACAATCTTAAAGTAAAAAAAAAAAATGTAAGTCAAAGCATCAGTGTATCAAGTGCTATCTATATGCAAAATATAAATCATGAATGTTTAGGGCTACTTCAAACAGTAGGAGCTGTTTCTTGTTACTGTCTTCTGTTAATCAAGCAGTGGTAGAAACTCTCCCAAAACATGTCCCTGGGACCGCTTTGTTTCTGTTCTCTCTGTCCCCATCTCACCACTCTCAGCCCATAGAATGCATTGCATAGTAAACCTCATTCATCTACAGTGGAATTTATTCTGGTCTATTCCATCCTTTCTACAGTGTAAAGCAACATTCAGCCTATAGGTTACACTATTCCATTAGGCCAGCGTCTCCCACCACCCAGGTTTGCGTCTCAGTGCAACGTGATCAGGTAGGTCCTCGTGTCCCTGCTGACAAGCCGTGGACTCATGGTCTGCAGTTTCTAACTTGTGGGCCGTGTGTCTTCTGCTGTTGTCTTGTGATATGGAATTATTTTAAAGATACCAGGGGTTATACATGCCCGTTCAGCACTGAGCCACTTTTCTTGAAAGTCACCTAGGGCTCCCTCAGCTGCTCTCAAGAACAGTTTGGATTTTGAGTTTGGCGCTTTCATCTGAGACACAGTGTCATGTGTTCTGTTGTGCTTAGCTTTGTGCCCAAGTTTCTGCCTGGCATCATTATATGTTGCACTGTAGGTTAATGGGTAGTTGATTTTAACCCCATCCCTGTCAATCAAGATATTAACACTTTGTTATCATGTCCTTGATTGTTTTCTTGAATATATACATGGATGTGTGTGTGAGTACACACACGTGGGTCCATGTGCATGTACACATAAAATTGATTCCGTTTTATTAACCCATATAGGGTTATTTCATTAGCCTGATTTTTGCCTTCAGGGTTACAAGTGAAGAGCATTTCCCCAGGACATTACAAAGAGACTATGTCTATTCTAAGTTATGCCACATCTATCTTAATGGATGGGTCGTAGGTCACCATAATTCACATGACCAATTCTCTGCCAGTAGATATTAAGGCTTCTAGATCTTTTATTATGAAAAAAATTGGATGACACCACATTGCATAATTTTGTGGGCTGGTCCAAACGCTTCTGTATAATTAAAGAGGCAGCTTCCGGTGCATTTATGTGCATTTTAAGGATTTTGATGCATATTCCTAAATTGCCGGATGCCATATCTCTGTTGAACTTCTGGTGAGCACTCAGCCTTCTGCTTCCTGTCCAGTTTCTTCATGTTGTCACAGACATGCTGGTGGCTTAGCCACAGGACACTGGCTTTCTCACCAGATGAGGATGGATGAGCTTGGAGAGCTGGGCACCCTCCCTGTTCTACCTTCCCTCCTTCAGCCACACGAGTGTTGGGGGACTATCTGGCCATTAGTTCCTAGGGTATCGGGGTATTTGCAGTGATAAGAGTTTGAGTGTCACTGTTTTCTGCCCTTCAGATCTCCCAAGATCTTAAATACCCCTCACCCCACAATGCTGTTGGTTTTGCCTGTGGATTTAAATGAAGTTTGTGTTTTCTGTGATAGTGATAAAATCATAAATTTTTTATCATAGACATGCTTGGGCAATCCATTCCTCTTCCCCATCTTCTTTTAACAAAGTGTTTAAAGAAAAAGTGTAAGGGCTTGGGATATAGCTCAGTTGGTAGAGTGCTTGCCTCACACGTGCAAGGCCCTGGGTTCGGTCCTCAGCACCATAAAAACAAAATAAAAATAAAAATTTTAAGACTCAATAGTTGGACAAGAGATGTCCCAGAACCCAGTTTTGGCTCAAGCAGACCATAAACTAACAATTCAGTTGTAAACTCAAGCAGATGGGAATATGGTAACAACTCCAAAAATTTTAGGAGATGGATGGAAAATCAAGTACGTATGGATGGGGTTGTGAAGAAGTTTTGTTAACTTGCAGCAAATCTTGATGCCTTTTATTAAAAGCCATTTCATATTTAATCCTTAGTACCAAGAAACAAAGCAAAAAAACCATTCTATAAAAAGATTTTTTTTTTTTTTGGTAGTAAACCAGGGTTTTTAGATTTTCAACAACCTTTCCAGTCTTGGGGTTACACAGTTCTTTCCTGAAGTTCTTCTGCTGGGGAATGAGCTTGTGATGGAGATACAGTTTCTCTCTCTTCTCTCCCACTCTCACTGTCATCCTTCTCCCACTTGATAGAGGGAGAAAGAGACTTCTCAGCCATCTCGGATCGCACTTGAGGGGAGAACCTCTGGGACATCCAGTGGACACAGAGAAATGGTGTATTGATAAAGTCAATGATGATGCTGACCAGGGAGCTGGCCCCTTAGCAAGTCAGGTAGTTTCTATTTATTTGCTTTCGATCAATTTGAAGGAAGACCTGCTCAAGTTGTCAGGTGGAGTGGTGCAGCATTTAAAATAACTATAGATGATGTTTTAGTCTGTTTTCTGTTGCTATAGTAAAACCCCTGACACTTT